AAAAAGTGTCATATTTGTGTTTGGTCAACATCCACAGAGACCACCAGTGGTTTAAACTGCAACTAGGTTGAATGGAACCTAGTTACAGTTTCTGGGAGAGAGTGCATTATTTGGTGTGATCAGCAGTCTGAACAAGGCCAGTATGCTCAAACCCTCGATCACGATGACTTGTGACTTTGTGCTAGCATAACTATCAACAGCTCCCTAACAGTCCTGTCTGTCCAATTTTACTCACAAGGCTTTAGTCAACCCTAGATATAGGTTTTCAAGCACTTTCCAAAGGAACCACACACTAGGATCAGCTACCCTGGCTGATAACATCAAGAAGTCACCTTCCTGAAAAATCAACCATGATGAGATTCAAACCTGGCTCTCATGGTTCGAAAGAGAACATTTTAACCATTCATGCCCATACATGGTATGATGGATAACTTGTCGTCTAAATTATGCAAAAATAAAAATAACACTGACATCTCTTTTTAACAGATATATTTACCAAAATGACACAAAAATATCTTGATATACTAATGAGTAAATTTATTCAATAAAACTGCCATTAGCTTCAACCATGTCCTCCAGACATCTTCAGAATCTCCTGCGCCCCACACATAATAAGCAAGGGGGTTGCACTCTGGGGAGTTAGGTGGCCAAATGTAAAGAGTGATATGGTTGCAGAAATTGTCTGACAGCCATGACTGGATTCTCCTGCTTGTGTGGCATGATACAGAGTCTTGTTGCCAGACATATGGCCTTCCAACAGCCACCCTCTTAGCCCAGGGCAGCAATACTTCCTCAAGGCACTTGATGTAGGCCTCTGTATTGAATTGTGGGAAGATGAATAGAATCATAATTTTGCCATCACAAATTATCACTTCAAACACCTTTGAATCACCATTAGACTCATCCAACTCTTTCTGAATCCTCTGCACTGTCCTCAGATTGATACCCAAACACTCTGAAATGTTCACATTGGAGCTTCTAGAGCGAATGTCAAGCAGTACAGCATGCTGTTTCCAAATTTCTAGCAGAGTGAATTCAATCATGGTGCCCTTTTAATTTCACAGATGGTGCCCAACTGACCCTACTATACTGTACAGTTGACAAAATCAAAAATAAATAATGTGCATGCACAAAATTAAAATTATAAAATGGCGACAATTTACCCATCGCACCCTGTATATGATTTGTATATTAACTGTACATACTTTTAAATTTAACTTTTAATTTGAAATTTTGTAGATTAATAATTTGATATATGTTTTAAATGATGTGCAAATTTTATCTTCTTCCATGAGTTATAAACTAATTAAATTTTATATTGGTATTCACTCAATTGGGATATCATATCTTATTAATAATTTTCAATGAAATGAGGTTTTATTTTATTTTGCCTGAAACTGATTAATTAACTGAAGATGTTCAAATGTGTCTGTTATAATTTGAATCTAATTTGTTTTACAAAATCTTAATTTATACAGATTTTTCTTCACAAACACTACATTTTAATATAACTACTTTATCTCCAGGAAAAAAAATATAGTTCAATGGTGAAGAATGACTTTGAACTGGAGTATGCAATCAGTCATGTCCTTAAAGAAATACATAAATAAAAAATTAATTATACAGTCACTTTGCTGTATTCATAAAAAGTAAATAAATAAAAATTAGTTATAGTGTCAGAAGTAATTATAATAAAGTATTATAATTATAATTAACATTAATTCACTCTCTCTAAACCAATGAGAATCAACTCCCATTTTTCTCCTCTACACACATAAACATGTGATATTGTCACTATTGGAAAAGCAGTCAACACGGGCAGACCGTCAACACATGCATCAATGAAAATTTTGGCTCCTTTTCCTTTTTCACGCCATAATAATAGCATTTATCTCTTAGCACACAACAAAAATTTGAGGTAAGAAAGCTTCAGATACTTCTTGTATTTTTCCAACTAAATTATCTGGACACTCATAACACACATCTATAAAAAAAAAACATACGAGAAAGACTGTATACACTTTACTTATTCTTTATCTTATCATTGTCAAATTCCAATCTAAATTTGACCCCAAACTCACAATTTTACTCAGTATTACTGTCTCTCGTTTCTCCAACACAGCATAACAACCAGATAATAAATAATACTCATTTTGTTGTTTTCACATCTTGCTGTTTCCCAATTCTAGGACTATTTTTGTATATATAAATGTTAGGAGTTAATAATTATTTACTCAGAGTTATAACTCCCCTACAACTCCATGATGACTTTTAATGATTACAATAGAAATTTAAGAAATCTTTTCTTATTAAGTACAGAACTATTATTGGAAGCAGTAAAAAACCTTGTTTTTGTGACTATGATCAGTTTTTTTTCTCTACTCCTAACCAAATACTATTTTTCCATCCTACCTTGCTAAAGAGGAAGAAACAGCTTGTCATATCCTGTTGGAACTCCCATATGTTTTTAAAACAATTGGAAGAAACTTCACCTTCCAAGACCAGTGACTGGTCCTGGAAGTGTTATACAGAAACAAAGGCCTTTTTTGCTTAAAATACTCTATTAATATTGCTTGTTCACAATTTATTGAGAAATGAAAGAATAAATGATTTTAATAAAATTATCATGAGTGCCTTATTGCTTGGCCATGAAGGAACAGACAGTCAGGTGAAAACAATTTCATGCTTTTTAAGTTAAATTTCTCAATTCCTGTCAAAGAGCACACATTTATCTTTAATAAGATTTCTTGAATATTCAGGCCGATAGGTGATAATAAGATAATCAAGATTGTGAAAATAATCAATAATTAATTTTTTATTGCAAAAAAATTATTTATTCTGGAAAAATCTAAGGTATGCAGTTGCACATGTTCCCTACAGGGACACTTCACCACTGAAGATATTGGTATTTCCAATGTCTGAGTATATTGTAGCAATATTGATGGCCTAAATTAACCCATACATTTTTTTACTTTACAGATGTATAAGCAAACGAAAAGCAAAGAGAAACAGCACAAAAAACTATTTGTACAACAACAATATCTATATTTATGTATGTCAATGATATACAAGCATAATTAATAGGAGTTACTTCCCTTCGACTGAAATTAAAGTCTTTACTAAGGAAATATTTTTATCTGAGCTCATAGAAAGTAGAATGTACTTGCTGCTCAAAATGTTCACTGTGAAAGAGTTGAAAGAATTCTGTAAAGCTGAGAATTTGATGATAAACTTTGAGATTCAGAATAGTTGAAGGAATGAATGTTCTGTAATGTTTAATTAGTTTCCATTGCTTGTAGTTGAATATTTGTAATATGTTGATGCTTGTAATGTTCTGTAATGTTCTGTAATGTTTGTAATTAAATTTTCTGTACCTACGTGTATGTGTGCAATGTTTTCATAGCGTACGCTCGAAAGAGGTCGGAACACAATTTCTTAAATAGCTACATTTTAGTAAGTGAGAGAAATCAAAAAAGGAAGCATGAACTTGTGTCTGGTATTTATAATAAATGTAATCACATGATTGGCTCAGAAAGGCATAGACAGAGTTTGGCAGAATTGGTTTTTGTCAGGTCATGAACTAGGTTGATGTTATTCGAATGTAGGCAAGAACATGATTTAAATATTAACTGACCAATGAGAAGTGAGAAAAATATCAAGTCTCTGTGATCCACTATTTGCACAGATTTTTGTAGTTGAAAACAAGTGGTAGCAGAATGCTATAATATCTTTTGGATTTTCAACATCTGGCAGGACTTTTAAAATGATGTGTTCCAAAAAGCAGTTCTTCTGTTTTTTGTTGTCTAGTTGCAAAGATAATTTTGTACATTTCTGGTTTACAGAAATTGGTCATTTCTTTTCATCCAATGCAATTCTTTCAAATGCTAGAAGTAGCATTCCAGTGTCCTCTCTGATTATTATATTATTATTTATGGAAAAATGTCTTTAGAATAAAACAATCTAAGGGAGGTAAGTCAGTATTTACGATATGGATAATGTTTTGAACTCTAAAAAAATAAAACAGAAAATTTTATTATTAAATATAGTAATTCCCCTACACTAGAAAAATGTAGTCAGTGGTGTTCATTACATTTTTTCAAAAGTTAGAATATACACATGCAGTCATGCGAGCAGCTCGACGTATGGTTAGCAAGTTTATCATGCTATAGGTCAATTATGATGAGTATGACTGACAGTGAGTTCGATCCTGACTGGGTGCCCCATTTAAGCTACTTTTAGAAAATCACTATATACAGTATTGTGACAAAATGAATACAAAATACTTTTTTTTTTAACTTCGTTTTTTGGTTTACTTTTAAAACAAGATCATTCAAGGATTTGGAACATTTAAAAATTATAAATTAAAACATTTACTTTTAACTCAGAATATGTTTTAAATGACTAAATTAGACGATTACCAAGTATTTTTGGTTTAAGGATGTCATTTCAAACCATGATAAAAAAAAAAATCAATACTAAGTGGCTCAGTCTTTCATGGCGCGTCTTCTCAGCCCATAGTTATATAATTTTACTTTGTAATTTTTATTTAATATTTATAATAATTGTGTATTGTAAAAAGCATATTTAGTTCATAAATATCGCTATTATAATAAATGACAGAGTTGAAACAACTACTTTCACACAATTCTTTAATAAAGCATTTTATGTACTTTTTCGCTATGGTGTCATTCATACAATCATCCAGACATGGACGGAAGACTAAGACACGACGCAATAATAGTAGTCGTATCGAAAACTGAACCGAATTATTAATAATTATCATAATTTAAAAATAAATTAGGAAAATTTTAACTTAATAATTGGTACTTATTAATGAGTTTTATTAATTGTTAACTGTAAAAAAACACTTTATTATTGTTGTTGTTGTTTTATAAGCTACGAAACTGAGATTAAGAATTAAAATCAAATAGTCTTTCCCTCACAAAATGTCATTCAATCAATAAACGAAAATGGCGGACTGTGAGAAGAGGACTTCAGCGATGTCAGATTCAAGTTCACAAAGTACCGTTATCAGCAACTCAGAAACAACTGTCTTAATGCAAGAACATTCTACTAAGGAAGAACCAAAGAAAGAGGAGAATAATGAATCTGAAGTTTACCCTGGAATCGGAGATTATTACCTGGTTATGCGCCCAGATAATACATGGCGTACGCAACAAACATTTTAATTCTACCTTTTAACTTAAAAAAATATATGTATTTTTGTTACGATGTCCATACGTTTTTTAGATTCTTATTAAAAAAATAGTTGTCTTTGATATCCTTTTATGTAAAATTTAAAGCCCTTGTTAAATTCTGAGATTATTTGGGAGTGTTAATTGCTGAGGGTTTGTGTTTTAGAAGAATTTAGAGATTTATTTATTTTTATAAACCCATTTTTTGTCTTTGTTAAAAACGAAATTCCCTCCTTTTCCCGTCTTTATTTATAATTAGGATTTCTAAGTTTTAGTTAGAAATTTATTTTTATTTTATATTTAATTTGTTTTTGTTATCTTAAAAATTGCACTTTTTTTTAATTCTTAATTATTTTGATTTTTGAATTTATTTTTGTAAATATTATTTTGCTTTGAATCCTAATTTGAAATTTTATTTTTGTTTGTATATGATTTTTTTTAAGTACAGAAAAAAAAACTAATACTAAGTATATTTTTTTTTATTTACAAAATCTTATTTTTAATTAAGTTCTAGTTTTGTAAATTAATAAGTGCGAGGGGGTTATATCGTTATAAACATTACTATACGTTTTTTTTCTTATTTCCCCTCTTGAATAAATTGTCGAATTTTTTTTATATACAAAACAGAAATAAATATTTATTTCTAACCTCTTCTTGGTTGAATCCTTTATTTGTCGCAAATTGTAGTAAATTATTTTTTTTAATTGACATAGGAAGAATTAAGTAAGTTTAACTAGCTTTTTTGCAAGCATAATTTTATCTTTTTGTTAATTCCTAATTTAATTACCATGAAATTCAGAACAAGATTAACATAATTATTATTGAATTTTATATGTTTATTGTTAAAACATTTTTTTTATGCTCTTTTTGTTTATTGAGGGTTTTTGACATATTTCTTCAACGGTCATTAATTAATGTACCTTACTTAAATTCCATTTTTAAAATTAAATTTATGAATTATTATATGAAACTAAATTAATTTAGAAAAGAATTGTTTTAAAAAAAAACACGTTTTAATAAATTAACATAATTTTTTTTTTACCAATATCGAAGAAAAAAAACTTTATCTTTTTTTATTAGGTTTCTCGTTTTTCACCTGAAAATAATTGCTAGTATCGTTACTTCGAAAACATCAAATCTCAAACAACGCTAATTATGTAATGTCCCTCTCTTTGAAAATCGCGCCTTATCTTCATTTTGGCCTCCGCACACTACGGCGACAAATATCTGCTTTCTTTCCGTTCTCTGGGAAATCTTCACAATTCTGCTGTTGGCCTACACGTTTTAACAAAAAATGTTGATGTTTTTTTTGTTTTTTTTTTATAATTTAGGTCAGACCTAAGTTTTAATTCTTTTCTAATATGTATTTATTTTTACGTTTTATTTGCTTTTATGTCTGAATTTATACTTTCTATTTACATTCAGGCTATTGCCCTCATCTTTGTTATGTTATCACAATATTTCAGCTGTTGTGCCCTCTGACCTACATCAGCTGTATATTGAGCTGTGCAACCTACAGGGAATTCTGAACTGAACCCTTTTTTATTTAATTTATAGGGCTAGACTCGTTCCACAACCCTTGTTTAGAGATATCTAGTTCTATTTTTAGTACTGCTCAGTTATTGCTCACCCCGTTTCTACTGAAACTTGAGTGCATAATATTAATTTTGCTATGAGCCAGATGTTGTGGACCTTTTACTTTAAGGTCACCCATTATTTCCCAAATCCCAGTTTGTTTCCCTGTTGCTGCCCTTTATTTGTCTCACAACAGTCTTGTATGCACTATCTGAGTCCCTCAGTTCATTTCTTACTATTTGATTAGTTGAATCTATGCACTACTGTCAATAATAGGTTTGCTTATTTGTAGGGACCAATTTTCCTTAATTCTGTTTCAGGTTTTAGGGAATTCCGTTTTCTGTACAGAATTCTGTTTTTGCTTCATTTTCATACTTAGAAAGTGTAACGATATATAAATGAAAATAAAAGGAAAATGAAAAATTTTACTTGTGGGAATATCCACCCAGTTTGACAGTTTCGTACCTCATACTCCTGCCCTTAATCTTAACTTGATGAGTTTCTGGGGCAACCCTTGCAAAGAATTCTACAATCCTAAATAAGAATTAAGTGAAAATGGCAAAACTTACAGAAAAGTATCACCAGAAAGTCATCTAGAGACAAAAAGCTACATTATTGTTTGGTCACTTTATTGAAATTATTAAATAACATTTTTGAAAAAAGTCTAATTCATAAAATTTGGCTTTCTGAAATAATAAAGAAACCCCCAACTTCCATCACCATATCTTATAGGGTAAAACAAAAAGAGAAAAACTTTGTGTGTGTCCCCACTACTACTACTTAAAAAAAAAAAAATGATTAAATCAAGCTAACTTCATAAAACTTGGTTCCTAAATACTGTAAACTGTAGGGAGGGAGTAGGTAAGGGGGATGTATTAAAACATTACATAATTTATCCTCTGATGTCTGTCAGATGAGTAAGTTACAAAAGGCAAACAGTAGCAAATTAAAATGGTAGGTGACAAATCTGATTGTTATAAAAAAAAAAATTTCCATTTCAAAATTGCAATTTCTGTTTGCAGTAGGCCATTCTGTTTTTACATCCTCATGGAAAATAAGCTCCTCTATATTTGATCATCCAAGCAGAATGTATAGATTATTTACACCATCTTATTTGTTGCTGCTTCTCTCTCTTGATCATTTTGGCCTCATTCTATAAAGGTTTGTGTGTGTCCTATCTGTACATGGTCAGCCATACCAGTTTTTGTACATGTTTCCGGTGTTTCTCAGGTCTCATAGCTGTTTTTTTTTTTTTGTTGAGGCAGGACTGGGATTGATGTCACAAATATCAAGGTGTGTTCTGCCTGACAGAGGACCTTTTGTCATAATGATTTGAAGCAAGGTTTTATAAGGCCAGATGCTCTTCTTGATGCCCAACTCAAACATTCACGGTAGTCTATTTTTTTTAAAAGGAAAATGAAAAATTTTACTTGTGGGAATATCCACCCAGTTTGACAGGGGTTCGTACCTCATACTCCTGTCCTTAATCTTAACTTGATGAGTTTCTGGGGCAACCCTTAAAATGGCAAAACTTACAGAAAAGTATCACCACAAAGTCATCTAGAGACAAAAAGCTACATTATTGTTTGGTCACTTTATTGAAATTATACACAAAAGGTTTTCCTCATGACAATATCTATAAAGGTTGCCATTTAAGGTTTGAAACCCATCCTAGCCTCATTTATTTAACATATTATTCCTCACCATCACAACTGAGTTTCATGCACAAGGCAATCTTCAGGTGCTGAGTATGAACTGACCTTGACGTAATTTGAATTTTAATATATCTGGTTATCACATTGTGGTGTAGTTATATGCTATGCTGGGATTACAGTTTATTATGGTTTTTATTATTATTATTATTATAAATAAGAACAAGTAATCTCCCTTTTAATTAAATTTTTTTTCCAAAAATGAATATTCACAAGTCAAAAAATAAAATTTTTTAATTTTTATGTTTTTTCTTACATATATAAATCTCATTTATTTTAATTGCCAAATATAATTTTTAAAATTAAAAAAACTGGTTTAAAGTCATTCAAAAATAACCAGATCATCCAAATAAAAGTATGTATATAAAACTGGTGGTGGGGGTGTGCTGATAGATTTTCAACCCACCTAAAAAAAAAAAAAAAAAAATTTCCCCATTTTAATAAGTTCACTACATTGGATATTTGACCCTTGCATAATAACATGTATGTTTTGTTAGTTACTACCAGAAATTGCTATATAAGGTTTCATGTGCTTAATTTCGATAAATAACTTGTTTCTTATTTACAAGAAATATAGATTTGATTTAAAGTGTCATCAAGATTTTATTACACATTTCATAGAATAATAGTGAATTTGACCTCAACTGTGTAGTCCACAACTGTGACTGCCAGATGAACCTTAGTTTAAACTATTAAGTTTACTCCTGCCCTAAAATTCCACTTTTTTTTTTTTTCCTGTTTTAATACACTCTGTTAATTTGTTAAATAAAATTTGAAACATTCTCAGCTACTTTGGATATTTGAACCCTTGCATAATGCCATGTATTTTTTGTTAGTTACCATTAAAAATTGCTTTATAAGGCTACATATGCTTAATTTTGGCAAATAAAATTTTTATTAAACTATAGAAAATATTAATACGTATCCTCAGCGCAAACTTTGTTTTTATTTCCATATGTGATGTTTTTGTGCACTGATTGTTTTCAAATACGTACACATTTATCTCGAATGTGCTTGTGTGTGGCTGTAAATGTGTTCAAATCTTACAATAACTTGTACTATCAGCTTAGATATTTTTTATTTTGAAATTTACCTGTAAATAAAGAAAAAGAGTCAAAGTTCAACCTTTGTGTCTGCAAAAAAAAAAACTGCATATTAAAGTGGTGGTTATTCCTTTGACACCACTATTTCTGTATACACTTTTGACTCCTTTGGTAATGTTTATTTAAAAATTATCAAAATATGTAAACCAAGTAGAATGTAATATTTATTATTCACCATTTTATAAAAGGAATATGAAAAATAAATCTTTTTATTTAAAAATTATCAAAATATGTGAACCAAGTCCAAAGCAATATTTATTTACTATTTTATAAATAACTATGAAATTATTTTCATGAATTTATATGAAAAAAAAAAGTGCTCAGAAAATGCATTTTTTTAAATTTATAATTACAGTCACTCATGTTTATTTAAATTTTCTTGTTCAGACATTTTTATAAATTTATGAATAAAAAAAATCCTTTTCATATTTATTTCTTTATAAAATGGTAAATAATAAATGCTTCATTATAGATGATTCACATATTTTTATAATTTTGTAAATATAAAAGTATTCTTGTAAATAAGCAATTTCACATGTTTGGGTTTTATTAAAATTCTAATCATTGTTTTTTAAAACAAACATTGCCAAAATATCACATTGACACACCAGTTCTCATACAATCACTGAAGTTAAGCAATGTCCGTCCTGGTCAGTAACTAGATGGGTGACTGCTTGGGAATACCAAATGCTGTTAGCCTGGATGTGTGGGTGGTGTAATGGATAATGGCTAGGAATTAGAAATTGCAGAGCCAAGTTCCATTCTAATCAGGTTTGTTATATTCACTTACGTGCAAATACCTTTGGGAAAGGTATGAATCTACCTTTTCTCCTCCTACCTATGGGTTAATTAGTAGGACTTGTATCAGTAAATTATTATTATCTTCCTGAAATACTGACAATCCAGAAATATTTTCTGGCTTTAAATAACCTGTAAAAGGTTGATAAACTGCAAAACAAACAAATCAAACAAAAACATTGCTGAGCAAGTCAAATGTGCTTGCAATAATAACGATGTCAATGGAATAACCATCCTTTTGTAATGCCATTATTTTTTTTTTTTTTTTTTTTTTACAGACATAAATGTTAAACACTGCCAGAAAAGGAATGGTCATTAGATTAAATTTAAAAAAAAAAAAAAAAAAATTATTACTAAACCAGCAGTTATCCTTACTACTTGTGATGAACATGGAACCATAAAACTATTAAAATTGCATGAAGAATTCATCACAACTGGTTGTATCTTAAGAACAGGCTAATTATGTATTGTAAGTACACCTGTGTTCCACATGTTAGGAAATCTTGTTTGCAGGATTATATTTGATTTCAAGATTACTTTCAATAACTTCCTTAGAACAGAACATCTAGAGTCTTGTTGGATCTGTGGTAGAATGCTAATCATCTATGATGAATTAAAAAAAAAAAAAAATATAAACCTCAGAATTTCCTTTTCCCTCAGTGCAGGAATTTAACTAATATATACCTTCTAAGTCTGGTATAAGGCCATATTTTTGTAGAGTACTCAGTGAAGCTGAAATTGACTTGTAGTTCCTGAGAGACCACTAAAGTACAAACCTGGATTTTTGTTATATATAAAGGCACATACAAAATGGTGCTGAAAAGTCCCCAGCTTGAATAATTTGGAAGGGACTCTGAAAATATTCAGATGTTTGGTCAGATTTTAGGAAATTAGTTAGGCTGAGAACATTTCAGTTACTTTTCAAATAGACATATATCTGTTGGAGGGGTGCTGATAAATCTTCTACTCAAAAATGACCTAAAACCACAAATATGGTATCCCATATATTCAACTTGCAATTTAACATTATTTCTAGTTTCTTTAGTCCTTCCAAAAGAAATTCTAATGTTTGGACAATGGTCATGAAATAGAGATTTTGGGAAGTGGATCAAAAGTGCAGAGATATTTAATATTTAAAATATAAATATTATATAAATATGTGTGGATAGAAACTATTAGTAACTGCATAAGCATGCGATAGCATGCATATATAGGTAAGCAAATAAGTATTTACTCAATTTTTGGTATAAACAAAACTGTTCAATATAGTTAAACAGAGCTATAAAGTATATATTAATAAATACACATATACCTACACTTATCATGCAGCTCAGAGTTTCATGGTTTCCCAACTTGTCAGACACAAATAGTAAATAAACCACTTAATACAGTTGTTTTTTTTTTAAATACTGGGTCTCATGAGAGGAATGCTAAGTTGTATACAGATTCCAAGTTCAAAGTTATTATAAATTCAAAATATAGTGTTTGAGATTTATATGGTTTGGTTATGACTTTTTGTAAAATAATGGATTTCCTGTATCATAAATTGATGAAATAAGCAAAAATAAGATTTAGAAGATTCCAGAAAGATGTAGACTATTATGCTTAAATATGATTTTAAAAAAGAATTTTGTTGGAGCCTTGTATAACTTATTTTTGTTTAATATTAAATTTGTATGTTATGCTATAAATGTTAAATGCGCTAAAAAATACATAAATACTATCCAATTACATCATTAGCAAATTGATTCTTTTACCCTTATTGCATCTATGGTAAAATCCAATTTTCATTTTTGGGCGTGACCTTCTTCAAGAACTAAAATAAATTAATGCTGTTTTTGTTACTTTTGAACAAAAGTTCATTGATTTATTACAAAGAAACATAAGACTGCAAAATGTCATAACCCTAATATATATATTCATTCATTTTATTCAGTTAGCACATTTTGCACCACCACTGTGGTCACCGCTCTCCTCCATCCCACAGTTGTGCTTCATGCTGGCATTCAAGGCAGAATAATGCAATGCCTTGCTTGTTCCTCTTGTACCAGGGATGTTAAGTTTAACCTATTCCTTCTCTCAGAGATGGATTTGTTTTTTGAAGTTATCATCTAGCCCTTGCCTAAAGAGCCAGGACCTATAAGGCAGCAAGGGGTTTGAATTTATAGTTTCCTTCTCCTCTGCTGATTGTCACCCAAGGCTATAGGACCCACTCTGTCCTGCTATTTTACCCATTGGTAGTGGGGAGAGATGGATTAATATCTCTCCGAAGGTTATTAGCATGTAAGTGAATAATGAGCTTAAATGTAATTCAAAATGAACTCCAGTTGCTCACTCTGAACCACAAATCATTATTCAACTGTGTGTGTGTGTGTGTGTGTGTGTGTATGTGTGTATATATATATATATATATATGAGCCTGAAGATTTTGTTAAAGCATGAAACAGATTGTTGCCACTCAGTGTTGACCTCAGTGTGCACTATTATGTTTATGTATGCTCTGTCCCTGATGATATTGGGCACTTTTACCCATAAATATAGCATACCTTAAAACTATATTTTAATCACACACACACACACACATATATATATATACACACACACAAATACCTTGTGTAACAGTAAAATTGTCCAATTGTTAGATTAAGCTTTGAACCATTGTATCTTAAAAATGATTAAAGATATCTTACTGGAATTCTCCAAGGTTTTTATAACACTATTGGACTCCACTTAGAGCTAATATACATTCTTATTGTTCAAAGTTGAAATGATACTCCCTCTTGCTTTTGTAACCTTCTGATCGAGTTTTCCTCTCTACTGTTCCCTCTTTTTTAAACTATTCTCTTGATGGTTCTTGAATGAACTTTGTAGATGAAAGCCAGAAAATGAATGTTGGCACCATTACTGAAGACCTGAATGATCTTTTCCCTCTCAGCATTGCTCAGTTGGGAAGACATAGTGCAGCTGACACAAAGCAAGTTTAACCTGTTCTCTCTCTAGTTGAATAATTCAAAGGGTTTTTCAGTGATTCAAGGAATGGGGTCAAGATGGTTAAACATCTTATCTGGAAAAAAGAAACTGAATTAGTTTAGTGTTTTTTAGATATTAAACATTATTGGATGGATAATTATCCCATGCTGGCACACAATTTGGACAATTTTGCTGTTAAACTTATATAGTGTGTGTGTGTGTGTGTATATATGATTAATACAGACATAAAATTTGTTACTTAGCTGATTGATGTTATATTCTGCACCTTAACTCTGGAGTTTCGTAGAGGAACCTTTTTTCTAATTGTTCAGTCCACTCATCAGGAGGTTTCAGCAAAACATTTTTCATTGTTGTCTCTCTAACTTTGAGAAGAGTCATTAACATTGTCTGGACAATTAAACTTCATCTTCATATGCTTGCCATTGCTTTCCTGAAAGAAAAACTTGTTTCCCTTTTTCTTTTTTTTTCTTTTTTTTTTTTTGTGGAAAAATATACCTGACAATGAAAAATGGGTCAGTTGAAATGTTAACGACGCCAAGCCTGAAGGAGAGATTCACTTGTCCAAACAGTGTGTATTCTTCATTGTAATTCTCTCTCTCTCTCTCTCTGATATACAAATTTCAAATAAGTTAAATGAGATTCAGAAGTTAAAGGTTTTATAACAATACCTCTTGATTTAAAAGTAGAACCCTTTTTTAGTCCATGACAAGTTATTTTTATTCCCCACCTTTGTCTTCCATAAATTAAAAGTCATCGTTCTTCAGGAGCATGCAATTCTGTAAATGTTAGATTATCTCCCTTGAAATGAACGTTTTTTTTTTTAAATTTTGAATTTATTTTATTTTTAATATACTTTTGTAGATCTTAAGAAGTTAAAATGTTAAATGTAATTTTTTTTTGTTTTTAAATGGCGAGCATCCTAATATCAAATTCGACAACCACTGTGGGAAAAACTTTGAACTCTGAAATGTTATTCAGTTGACCTCTTCAACTCTAGAGTTAGCCATTATCTTTCTTGCATAGCCCCAAGAACTTTTCTTGACCATTCTTATACTCATACAACACCACACAATAACCCTCTACCTTGAGTGGCTCTTGGGCCTTGAATTGGGTGAACATTAGTTTTAAAAAAAATGCAGAGTGAACTTGGAGAGTTGTGTTATCAAGGAGAATTTACTGAAACAGATATCCACAGAAGACATGGCACATGGAATTAAAACAATCTACCCCATAGACTAAAGGGTTTGGTTCAAAATTCCAAGAAATATCATCTAAGGAAGAACGAAACATTGTGAATATAGAAATAAAGATGAGGACGGCAATACAAACAATGTAAATAGTGTAAATGAAAGATTATAACTGAGACAACTTTTAAATTTATTTTGTAATTTTAATGCAAATGATTCTGCCTTCATAAAGGAGGAGTGACATATTTTGTCTGACAATAATAATAAAAAATTAAGACCTTATGTGAAACCTCAGAATAAGGGTTGCAATTATGCCTTCATTATTTTATGGTATTGGTAAATTAGTATTAAATAAAAGTAAAAAAAACTACAAGTAATTGTCATTACTGTATATCTTAGTGTACAGTTCTTGTCCTAAAAGAGGTTTAATGATTGGATAAGTGGTTCACCTTTACCAACATAAAATAAGAAAGCTCCAGAAAATCTAAATGGATTGATATGCATTGTATTTTTCTTTATATTTATAACTATACCAATAAATATGATCATTTGTTTTTTTTTTTTTTAAAAAAAAAAAAAAAGAAAATTTGAGGAAATAGGATTTTTTTTCTTCTAAAACTTTTTCTAAAAACAATTTTCGATTTAATCTCTACTATCACTACAGTAATTCAATTTTCTTTTCACATGATCTCATTTTTTAAAATTGAAATCACAAAAAAAA